AAAAAGCCGGCCGGCCGGGTCTATTTAAAAGTTTCATGTTATGAAAACCAAGTAATTAAATTTGTATGGCCTTAGATACAACAGCTTTATGGTATTTCGACATAACGACTGTAATGTCATAATGTATTACGGCATTACGGCTCAAAGAAAATACGACAAATAATTCTACCAACAGGTATGTTTTACCGTAATTCTCAATAACGGCATCTACGCGTTATTTTGATTATCCTGCGCGTTATTTCGCGTATGCCCATGTGCTTTATTTCGAAATAAAGGAACAAATTCAAAACCCGATTGTTACTATGTTATAAATTCACTGAAATGTTCTATATTACGTGAGATGCGTTATTTCGGGACGCGCACGGACTTTATTTCGAAACTAAGCTATTCTTAGGGGGGCACGATTTTCGAAATAAATCCAATACCCGCTATTTCGAGAATTTACGGTATAATAAATGCAACAATAAATAAGAAGCAACGCGAGAGATAAGGAGCTAGTTTATATATATTTATTCATTTTAAGCGATAAAATAATCTACCCAGACATCCATGTATGCACACTCTACAAGTGCACATCCCTATAATTGTGGCTATGGCTTCAGTCTCAACCACTACTAAAGTTACTCTTTTTAAACGCCCACCCACTAAAAATGTACACTTATGACCGGTCTCAAGGGGGGTACATATATAGAGGTTTGATCGTAGTTCAAAATATAATATATATAATCTACATTTACAATAATTTCAGATTTATAATAATGCCAAAAATAAAAATTCATTATAGCTTTTTGTTTTAAACTTCAGATCTTAATCTAATTTTGATAATAAGTTCCGTACAGTGGTTAACGACTGTAGAACAATACTTTATAGGAGCGTTCATGTCAACCAATTCGACGTCGTACTTTCTGTATAATAAAGCGATCAAGGCTTTCATTTGAAACATTGATAATTGCTTTCCCTATTAATCATATAATTTAGAAAATTAATAAATCAAAATACTAAAATAACAATAATCAAAATGCCTAAATATGAATCTGAAATACCGGGCATATCTTTGCTCCTCCACCAAATGGAACAAAAATATTTCCTTCAATATTTTTATCCATAAATCTTTGAGGATCGAATTTTTGAGGGTTATCCCAATGTGCACTGTGCATATGAACACCAGGTACATTGATCATAAACATCGTAGAGCTTTCAAAATGATGCCCATCAATTTCATCAGGCTTCGAATTTACTCGGAGTATAACTGGTACAGTTGGCATAGTGCGAAACACTGATGACAATAACTCAAGTATTATTTTAAAATCTCAATAAACGCTACATGGCCCCATGACAACAAGACCTTACCTTCTTTAATAATTGCATCACAGTAATGTAGCTTCTGAAGTTTTTCATAAGTAATTTGATCATTTTCAAGTACTGTCTCTAATTCTTTAAGCATAGCTTTTCTGACCTCATAATAGTGTGAAAGATAGTAAACCACATAACAGAATGTATTGGACGTCTAAACATAATAATTAATCGTTTGTTTTAAAATCAATGTCTCAACCGATATTCCAAACACAGTCAAACCTCCATATATGCAGTACTGGGCAATTGGATAAAATTTGTTTCACTGGACTTATATATAATTGGAACATCGGACTTGTAGATTCCTTAATGAAAATGTATAAGTCCAATTCAAATTCAAATTAAGGGCTCATAAAAGCGCCCAACACTGATCCAAACTACTAATAACATCTATATAAAGCTGTTCTCTCTCTAAATACACTTGGGGTCGGTTCAGGGGGTACATATATAGAGATTTGAACTGTATCAAAAATACTGAATTTCAAGTAACAACATACAGTATCACTACCACCACCAATTATATCGTATACGATAGCGCGAACATCATCTTCACTTATTGGTTCAGCAGCAGTTTCTCGATTAAGATCAAGAGAAGTATTTAAAGTTAACAACATTGTCAACATATCTGAGGACAATTCGTCTTCCAATGGAGTTCTATCGATTTCCTGTTTCCTCTCTCTAATAATTTTAAGAACTTCTCTGTTTAACCAAGCAACCTCCTCAAGTAATTCTTTTGCTTGACGCCTTAAATTTGGAAAGAACCTTCGTTTGTATTTTGGTGTATCTTTAAAAAAAGCGCACGCTATAAAATGTGTCCTAATGGCTGCAACAAATCTTTCGGAATCTTTCAAAAGATTATTCGAACATTTCGAGTTAGAAAACGTATCATAGTAATTGGCTAAAGCATAAAAATTCTTATTTGTCGTCATGATAAGAGTAGAATCCATCATAAATCTCGTCATCCATTTTGCAAGATCTATTTCTTTGTCAAGTCCAAGGGATAACCAATGCTTTTCCATTTCTGTAAAGAGATTTTGAGTGTACACTACTGATTGCTTCAGAAACTTTGGTGACATCAAAACCCGATTCACACATTTTCGGTTAAAATTCCAACTGTTCCAATTAAGATTAAACACTACACCCTTCGATGTCATATCCATTAAATCAAGGCCTTCATTTTTGGTTGTCCGAAAAGGAAAATTATTATTTGAATAAGAAGGATTAAGTAACTTTGTAGCCAAGTCCGCACGACCTATCCATATATGTCTTTCAGACCACTTCCAAACCTCCCAGATATCTCCATATTTTTCTTGAAATTTATTGGCCATTGCTATATCATTTTCCCACACACCTATAATTGGCCATGGTACAGGTCCTGGAAGAGGATTCTTTCTGGTGAAATAGTTGAAATAGAATTGTGCCACATATGTTGCTAATCCTAAACTCACAAGGACAAGCAAAGTTAATAAATCGATATTTTCAATAAGAGATAATATAGCCATTATTTTTTATTTTTTTTTTATGGCGAATGTATTTATATAATCTATATATATAAATTATGCGGCGTTGGCGGGTTTACTTATTTCTAACTGTGATACAAATCACGCGAAATTACAAATATTCCATTTGCTGCAAATTTGCTTTAACTTTAAAGTTAGGAAGATA